GATAGAAATTGAATTTATATTGTGTATTGCGTATTGTTTTGAAGTAATATACATTGTGGAGTACTTTAATACAGCTTACTAACAAATATATTATCTCACACGGTTGCTCTTTTTTATTTATTTTTGTAACTAGCATACGAAGTATAGATTTTATTGTGGCATTTTCCTTCCTCACTGGTTCTTTCTTAGGCTGCCTCTTTGCTGAGTGTCACATTCACATTATACCTTGCTTTTGTAGTTTGTTGAATTGTCTGTATTTTGGAATCCTTTTCTGGCAGCTCTTTCTTGTCTGTTGCTAGTGAGTCATTGTGTTCTTTTGAGATCTCCTGTGTGCCACTTTGTTAGTTCATATTTCTGTGTCCCCACATTAACAGCTGTGCATCTGACCAGCTGCTTCTACCGATGGTACAGAGTGACTTTGGTGGTAAGTCTTTCTCCTGATGGTGTTTCCTGGGGAGTTGATTGGACAGTCCGCATTTGTATTGGCTTTGGTTTTAGTTGGTCACTTTAGTATAGTGTCTGTGTAACTTCCTCAGCTCTCATCAATGCTGGTAATGTCTGCAGATGTCTCAGTGTCCAAGCTTGCAGCATTTGTGGGATTTTATCACCATCTGGGATATCCCTTTCTCTCAGTTGGGATGGGCTTATTGCCTGCACTGAGTACAGTGGGTTGGGAGTGCCTATCAGTTTCTGTGGGTTGCAGGGATGTTGTCTCTTTAGTGACTCCATGTGTGTGGTGGCTTCATGCCTGGTACTGAGTCAAGGTGTCGTCAGTATCTGAAGCCTTCAGATATGATGAGAAGTAGAAGTCTAGTCAATAGTGGGTCAAAATAGGCTTTTTGGAATGACTCAAGCACATGAAATTTAATAGAATTCAGCCAGGATCAAACTGAATTTTCCCAGCTTAGTTCTTTTTGTTTTGTGAATAACCTGTTTTGCCTCACCTTTTAGAGAATCATAATTAAATGATCAAATGCTATCTGTGGACCTCAGTGTTTTGGGGTGGAGGAGAGTGAGTGGGGACTGAGTATCACATGTCTCGCTCTGCACACCGAAATCATGTTAGGTTAGAAGTGCTTGGTAAACGTGCACACTGAGACAGCTGGGTGTGCTCTAAGGAAAATAAAAGTTGCAAAGCACTTTTAATTATAAAATTTGGATAGACCAGTAAAATAGAAATGGTGAATACTAATGAACTATTTTTTTATTTGAGGTATTTTTTAATTAATTAATTTATTCTTATATGCATGGGCGTTTTGCCTGCACTTATATCTGTGCACCACATTTTTGCCTGGTGCCCACAGAGGCATCAACAGGGCATCAGATCCTCTTGGCTTGGAGTTAAAAATGGTTGTGAGCTGCCACGTGGGTGCTGGGAATCGAACCTGGGTCTTCTGCAGTGCTCTTAACTTCTGAGTCATCCATCTCTTGTGCACCTATCTGAGATATTTTTAATTGCAAAAGTTTAGGATACTTTTAGTGTTTTCTCTAGAAAACTTTTATCTAGATAAACTTTTTCTAGATAAGGATTTTTTTTTATTAACCATGTAACCTAATGTGTTTTGTTGCCATAATCAACAGGGAATTGGCTAACTTGAACAAGAACTTTGTAAGGTAAAAGCTAACACTGTCTTTGTTATTTTACACACCTGTTTTGTAATAAGAAAAAAAATAAAGGTTTGATTAGGAGAGATAAATATTCAAGTTTTAGTTTAGAAACACCCATATGTCCAATATTGTTTTATTTTAGAGGCTAAAAGGCCATGTTTCTAGAAATGGCTGCTTTGTTACTCTGAGGATAACACTCACTCCTTTTGGATTTTACTGTGCCAGCTCCATCTCTGTCTCTCTCTCTCTGTCTCTCTCTCTGTGTGTGTGTATGTGTACACATTTGCATATGTGTGTGTGCACATGCATGTGTAGGTCTGTATGCAGTGGTGAATCTTCTCCCTTTCCTCTCAAACAGCAGTCTACTGATATGGGTGGTCGTGCTGTCACCACTGCCCGTGTGAGTGTTTGCCTTAAGATTTAGGTCTGCTTCTCTGGAAACTGCTATAACTATTCTAGAAATGATAATATTATGATATTTAACATGCCGTTTCCTTTCAGCATGTTTTTTTAAATTTTACTTTTTCATGTACTAGAAAAATGATTTACAACTTGTGTAATTTCAGTAACTAGAGAAAGACAGTGGAGACGTGAAGTTTCTCAAACCAGCTGGAAGGTCAAGTGGATGTCATTGCTGTACGGGGCTTACTTCATTTGAAATATCTGGTTTAAATGTTTTATAGTCATCTCATACATTTAAGTGGTTTTTAATGTCATTAAAATAGCAACTAATTAATATATTCATGCAATTTATAAAAGTGAACCAAATGCCACAAATTCTTCTGCTGCTGTTGTGTTTATTTGTAACAGTGGGTGCTGCTTAATGTGTGCTTGTATTTGAAAAGCATTTCGGTAAATGTTAGCTGTTCACACATTGTGGACAGCTACAATCTTGCACCACTATTCAGTGGGAGAAACCATCAAAGTAATTAGTTTAAAATGACTTCTCCATTTATCAAACCATTCAAGCTGTTTTTGAAAATTATAGGTAAGGTTACTTGTAGATTATGTTAGACTGAGTTCTGCAGAAACAAATCCAAGATGGGTCCCTAGAACGATGGCACTATTAGAGGATGCTCTAAGAAGGCTGGTGAGGGAGGCCAGGGTAGAGGAGGTCAGAATGCCTAGGCAGAAGGGCATGTTGGTGGAGGCTGACTCTGATGTCAGTTGAGCTAGACTGCTGCCAGAACTGACCTCCTTGGAGGGAAATGACTGGGCTAACCTTGACCTATGTCTATCATTCAACTGCTATTTGTGGTTGACCTTGGAAACAGTATGGGATTGGAGTCTCAGAGTGAGGTGCTTCCGGTGTGGCCCAGGAACATTTTCCATAGAAGAGAAGGGTCTCTAGATGTCACCAGCCAAGACTTATGGCATCTTGGTGATGGGGATCCCTGCCTCCTAAGAAACAGCCACTATTGTATAGATGAGTAATAGTTTAAAAGGACAGAAACTTACTAGATAAAAATTCTGTCCCTTTCCCCTCTGGAGAATACCCCACATACATATGAACCAGATGGAAATTCAACTGTGTTCAAGGCCCTTTGATTTTAGAAATATTTTAAAACATTAACAAGATTGTGGACTTTAGTTCTGTTCTTCTATTGCTTGTGGGATAATACTGAAGAATTTCTCCTGCTAACTGCTGGTAAAATGCATCCACATTACCATGAATGAAAATGGTCCTTGAGAGGGGACCTGAGGCGTTGTCCTTGACAACCCAAGGGCATTTTAAATGCCAAGTGCACTCAGAAAAGCTTTTCTCCTGGGTTAATTTTCCTACTTGAGATGTTTTATTTGCAGAAGTCTTTGGGTGTCTGCACATGCAGAACCAATCCTGTGGAACTAAAACACTCAGTGTATTCATGAATGAATTCACTTTACTATTTCTCCTGCATTAGGTTATTATGACACACTGAACAGTTCCCTTTTGGGGGATCACCTCCCACCCTCTCTTTCTTCCCTTTATGTAGTAGGTATAGAGAATTTTCTCTTTTGAAATTTTTTTTCTCATGCTCCTTATCAGTGTATTCAAAGAACCAGCTAACCTTCTATGAAGATAGTGGGATTCCTATTAGTTCCAGTCACTTAAAGGGTGTCTTATTGTCTTAAAATGTCAAATATTTTTCAGAAGCAGAAAGATATCTGAAAAAATTGAATTGCCTAACTTAAGTTGTAAGATCATTGATACAGTAGAAATAAACAATGGCAATCTATCTGGATCGAAGAAATCTTTGTTACTATTAATACTTCCTCTGATTGCATCTGTATTTGATTATTCTAATTTACTTAACAAGAGTAATAATAACATGCAAATAAAATCAGGATAGAAAGAGGCATTAATTCAGTTTGGAGTTCAAACTGACAAAGCAACTTTTCACTTTGCACAGGACTTTGCTAACACTTTCTGCAGACTGTGAATTAAACCAGTGCTTAGCAGTGCTGGGGAGGGACCAGGTGTGCTGGAACAGAGTGGACACATGACTAGGCAACTTGCAGGATCTTGTTTACAACTGATTTCTTCATAAAGGTCCTTGCACCAAGCCGCATGATTTTGATTTCAACCCCTGAAGCTCCAATGGTAGAAGGAAGGAACTGACTCCTGTAAGATGTCCTACAACTTCCTGCATGCCCATGTATACACACACAAAATAAATGTAATGAAAACGCAATAAAAACCAAAGTTATTTATTTAGTCATCAGAAATGCAGCACCATTCTTTTTCTTTTCACTACCAATCTGTAGTATTATCCACAAAACATGAAGTAAAGAGAATAAAGTAAAAGATTATTTGACTTGCCTTGGAGCTCAAACCTCAAATAAATGCCACTCTCAATATGTCTTTATTTTCCTTGATGCAAAATGTTCATCTGTTTACATTTGTGTTTTTCTCCAGCATAGAAATGGAAACTTGGTTGAATAAGAAAAATTTCTTTTTAATCTTTATCCCTAATAACTATTTTCCAGTGTTTATCTATTTCATTCACTGGTGACGGTTTTTAAAATATTGCTAAAGGCAAAATAGAACAAATATTAAGAGAATATTGTGTCTCACCAACATCTTCAAGTTATGCTGGAACTCTGGAAGTATCAAACCAAAGACTGAAAGAATGCACTGTATGTGGGCTTAGTACTTCTCTGGAAAGTGCTCAGTGGTTAATACTAAGGAAAAATGCCTCAGCTGAGCATGTTGGTGCATTCCCATGGTCCTTCATCCCAGGGTGGTGAAGCTGGGGTTCTTTTGAGATCAGCCTGAACAACATAGTGAGACCTTGTCTTCAAAGAAAGCTTCATCTGTGATTATCGTCACTTGATAATAGCTTGAACAGTTACAAGTCCCTTAAACTCCATGGTTGTTTACCTCTGTGTTGTGACGTTTTTATTGCTTCCAGAAACTTTCAACTAAGTGAAGAAGAGCAGTGGATTTACCAGGCTGTCTTAGAGCAGTACCCTGGAAATCTCCTTGGCAGAAGGACTCTTTACTTGGACATGTTACAAAGATATTTTCCTCACAAACCTAGGCATCATTTGGTGAGTGCATCCTGATAATGAGTATGTATAGCCTATATGCCTGTGAGTTGCAGTGTTTCGTGGTCCACAATTAGTAAGACAAATACATGTCTGTTAAATAGTGGTGGTTTAAAGAAAAATGGCCCCCCAAAGGGAGTGGCACTATTAGGAGGTGTGGCCTTGTTGGAGGAAGTGTGTCCCCGTGGGGGAGAGCTTTGAGGTCTCTTTTTCTTAAGCTCCCCTCAGTGTGACAGTTAGTCGACTTCCTGTTGCCTAAAAGACACAGCACTCCCAGCTCCAGCACCACATCTGCCTGCATGCTGCCATGTTCTCCTTCATGATCACAATGGACTGAACCTCTGAAACTTTAAGTGAGCCACCCCCAATTCAATGTTTTCTTTATAAGAGTTGCTATAGTCATGGTGTCTCTTCACAGCAATGAAAAACTCTAAGTAAGACACTAGTGCTCTGAGAATTCTTTATCCCCCCACTTTAGGTGATACTGTTACAGGGTGCAAACCTGTCTGTAAAGGCTGGGAGAAGACCAGGGCCAGTCCATTGTGCTCACCTGCCCGGACACCTTCGCCATGGTTTCCCAGCTCCGGACAGCCGTTTCACCCCTGGAGTTCCCACCATCACGCACCTGCTCACTAGGGAGATCCTGCCCTATCTGACCCTTGCCTGAAACTGGAACGGCCATCTTCTACCCACAGAGCCTGCCCCACATCAGTCCTAGGCCTGGGAAAACCAGCGTTTACCTGGGAAACGTTCCTAGTCTCCATCACCACAGCTCTGCCTGATTCCCACATGGTCCCAAACACAAACACCACTTCGGGGACCAAACACACACCCGAAGGTTACCTCAGAAGGAATTGGGAAATTAATATTTCATTCTGTAGTGGGCATGACTACAGCGGCAAGAATCTAGAAGTTACCATGTCCCCAGTTAATTCAATATAACCTACCTTATAACACACATGTGCAGATTTAACTTTTAAATGGGCTGTGCTATGAAATATCACATGCTTTTCTTTTGCAACTGTTTCAAATTAAGACGTGAATTGTATACACTCACATTCATTTGGCAATTACTTTCTGTCAGTCCTGTGCAAGTCCTTTAGTACACGAGACAATGGATGAAGTGCCACTGTCATCATTAATGCCTTGTGAAGAAATGGAAGTAAAGACCACACAGCTAGTCTGGCTATCACCTTCCATCCTCCTTATCCTTCTCCATCCCACTCTCCACCCCATGTTGTAAATATCTATTTTTATTTATTTAATTTTTAGAGATTAAAAAACCCCCTTTTTATTCTTTGTGTCTTTCACATCATGCATCTCGATCCCATTCATCTCTCCGTCCCTTCTATCAGCCCCCTCCCCAATAAAATAAAATACAATTTAAGAGAAAAGAAAAAGAAAAATCTCCCTGTGGAAGCTGTAGTGCGACATAGTAAGTCACACACTATACCCTTTAGTCCATATAGCTTTACTTGCAAATGTTCATTGCAAAGAGTCATTGATCTGGTTTGAGGCCTCTGGTTTCTGCTACACCATCAATACTGGGCCCTCACTGGGACTCCTCTTGGATATCCTGATGTTCCGTGTTGTGGAGATCCTACATCTTTGGATCTGTAAGACCAGCCCCTTCATGTGCTCCCACAGATCATAGATGGGGTGGAGGTTGGGATAGGCCAACTCATAGGCCTGGTTCTGGGTCTAGGTGGTAGCTGAGGTGGTCAGCCCATCAGCTCTCTCACATCCTCACTACCATGGTGAGCTCTTTAGTACTGCCCTGGCTAGTTCACCCCATGCAACAAGGAGCAAATGGTGGGGACAGTTCTTCTGCTTTCACGCCCTCAAGGTTGGCTTTCCCACACCTACACCATCAAGGGCCAGCTCTACTGTGTCACCCAGGTGAGGTACAGGGGCCACTCTCCCAAGTGCTGCAGCTGGTGAGGAACAGGAACAGCTCTCCCACTCTTAGGACCCAGGGGCCAGCTTTCTCAACTGCCACAGGTGGTGAGGGGTAAGGGGGGGGCGGCATTTCTCCCTTACCCACATGACTGTATGGTCAGATGAGGTTCAGGGTCAGATCTCTCATGCTCACATTCTTGGGGCTGGCTCACCCCACCCTCCGCCAACAGGGTCAGCAGCTCTCCTGTGTTGCCCAAGCAAGGTGTAGGCCCTGCTCTTGGAGTGCTGCAGCTGGTGAGGGCCAGGTCAGCTTCCCCAGTTGTTGCAAGTGGCAAGCGGGGACGAGGAGGACATCTTTCCCTTACCCACGCTGCGGCATGGCAGACAAAAGGGGCAGGACTAGCTCTCTCACTCTCACGCCCTCAGGGCCAGCTCATCTGCGGCCCCTTCAAACAGGGTCAGCTCTATTGTGCTGCTCAGGCAAGGTGTAGAACCTGCTCTCCCAAGTGCTGCAGCCTGTGAGGGGCAGGACCAACTCTGCACGCAGTCCTATCCCCTTGGCCTTCGGCATTATTGGGAGTCACGGACATCCACACGGCCTGGAGCTGCGGCAGGGCCACAGACCCAGACGTGGGCCTTGGCAGGAGCCTAGGCCCAGACATCACCATGGCCCCGGGTGGCAAGGAAGCTATCCCCCTTAGCCTGCTCCTCACCTCCTTCACCTCTTCAGATCTACCTTTCCCCACAGGACATGAACCATTCTGTTTCTCTCTCTCTCCCATACCCCACCATATATTGGCTCACTATAATAGTGCTGGACCATGGCAGGGCCGGCCCAGTAGGTGTTTTCTCCTCGCCACCCTGGGCAGGCTGCCCGGGGGCAGGCGTATGGGTCTCCCTCCCTCAATCAGTGTTAATGGTGCTGGGTCGGGTCCCCATGTAGTAAATATTTAATTCTGATCTTTAAGTAACTCATTAGAGATCTTCAAAAAGTTCTTAATTAATCAAATTAGAGGTTTTTTTATTCCCTATTAGTTCTATTTGCCTTTGCATCAAGTGTAACTGTAGATTTTAATATTTTATTACTATTGATGTGATAAAGATTTTCACATTTACTTTCTACATTGGATTGATTACCATATATTTCTGCATGGTGTATGCTTCTTTTCCTTGATACTTGACAAATGTTAAGTATATTTTTAGCTTTATAGAACAAAGCTAAGAAGTTTACAGAATGTGTTTTATATCTGGTTAAAGTGAGACCATGGCCTGCTTTATCATGCTCCTAATTAATTCCTCCTAAAGCATTGCTTTATGTGGGGCATATCTTATCTTGCTTTTTTCCCCTAATGCCTGGCAACTTAGGGATCAAGTAATTTATCAGATTTAGAGGTGTGGGCCACACCAGAAAAGCAAAAACTCCCTTCTAGCAGTGACTCATTTTCAGAATCTCCTGTAGGGATTTTAGACATGCCAGACTCCCCGTCTCTGCGCTCCCCCGGGGCTCTGTGCTTCCCAAGGTTCCTGTTCACCATTGGAGGAAGAGACTGCTGCCAGCGTGAGAACCCATGTCCCTCCTGGGGCGTTGGGGGAGGCAGGACAGGTGTCATCACCAGAATCACTTTTAAGCATTTGAGCATTCTAGTGATTAAAAGCAAAACTGTAACTTTCTAAGATTATTGTAGCACTAAAAAATATTTTATCGAAGTATGCCGTTTAACTGAAATATAATGTAATCGTTTAACATACCAACATTGATTTAAAAGCGGAACATTTAAAATTGCATATGGGAGACAGATTGCTCTCTGTTGAAACATTGCCATTTAGAATTTAGAGTCATCTCAGGGGCCACCTGGTCTGTTTCCATCCTACCGAGGAAACGGAGGACTTAGAAATCAAGTGGCGTCATCAGTTGCCAGTTAGGCACAGTCTCTGAAGACTGGAGCTTGTGTCTTATTCCTGGTTATGGTGAGGATGTTTGTCACTATTCAAAATCATTGATTATAGTGAAGTTTATCCATTTCATAACAGTGACATAAAATCCAGGCCCATTTCAGAATGAGAAGTAACTGCCGTCTGTTACCTTGTAGGTAGAACATGAGAAATACTCTGACCAGTATCGCTTTGCTGGAGAGCAGAGAAGAATCCTGATAGACAATTGGGAAAAGAGTAGGAAAGACTTTATACAGAAAGCCATGTTGACCCTCCTTGAGGCCTGTGCAGCCCATGAAGTGGAGAGCATGCTGGCCAAGGACAGGAAGAGGCAGCAGGAACTGTGTGCTGATCTGAAAGCCAAGGTAAGGTCCTGCAATGGGTGCTTTGTTACCAGGGTGTACACTAAGACTCTACCAACGCCTTTCCTCCCAGCACTCGGGAGGCCAGCCTGGTCTACAGAGTAACTGCTAGGACAGTCAGGACTACCCAGAGAAACACTGTCTGGAAAACCAAAAACCAAAACCAAACAACAAACCAAAAAGTCTACTTCTGTTCAAATTCTATCTGAAGTTCACTTTCTCTGGAAAGGTCATTTTGATGAAAACTATTGGTTTAAACCATAAGATATCGCACTTTATTTGGTAAAGAAAAAATGGCCAGCAATTAGCAATTTCCTAAAGCTCAACCTAAGGTTACCGTAACAGGGTGTTAGTGTTGGAATTTTTATGACGACATCGAACACCTGGCACAGGTGCTGCCAGGTGCGACTAGATGGGACTGTCTGACACTGAGCCAGACTTCATGCACACGGAAGGGCTGAAAAGGCCAAGAAGACTCATGGAGAACATGTGGGAGCAAGCTTGGCCGCCATGTGTGGCCCTCAGCAAGGGGTGAGGGTGTAGATGGGGCTTTGCTCCTCCTCTGAGCCACTGAGGGGGCTTCGGTAGGCGGGAGAGCTTGTGGTTGGAAGGATGGCTGTGAGTGTCTGCTGCACCCAGGCGAATACACAGATGCTGTCTCTGTATGAGAACTGAAGGTACTGGTTGCTGCTCTGCTGGAGAATCTGCACATTCCTTTGTAGTCACAGGGCCATTAAACAAATTGTGTTCCTGTGCAGCAAGATGTAGTCAGCTTGGTTTACTGCTAAGCAATATAGGAGGACACAACAAGAAATTTTATTCTCTTATTAGAAAAAAAAAAATCAAACCCGTTGGATGCTGCAGTCTGCCTGCAGCCTGGGTTCAGGTCCTGAGACTGGGAAGGGGCATCCGGATGAAGAAATGAACTGTCCAACCACCAGATGACTTAGTTTCACACAGGTGGCTGGCCCTGAGTAGCTCCAGCCATCTTTATTTATATATCAAAAACAAGCATTCCCCCCCCATACTAACAAACAAGTTTTTCCCATCCTCCAACATTAATCTCTGGCAAAAACAAGTATGTTAAATATGGTTATTTTTTTAATCCCAAGCTGTATATCAAAACATCTTTAAACCAAAACCAACACTTATTATTTTGCTAGCTTGGCTGAATATCAAGCCAAGTACATCCTGTGTTTACAAAACTAAAAGGTGATTGACATAGGCACACACTTTCAAGAACAACAATCCTGTTCAAAACATATTTACAGAAATAGGGGTGATGTGCCTCCAATCCTATCAGCGCTGAATCAGAACAGCTCCCGGGGTCTCAAGTGACGGCTGGTACCCCCCAGACAAGAAACCAGAGAAGCATCACCTCCCAAGGAATTTTAAGGGAAAATATTGGAGAAAAAAATGGGGTTCTGGGACTGATCACATCTGTCCCATGCATGACTGACAAAGCGACACTAAACACCACCAAGAGAATCATCAATTTTATGAGAGGAGAGCATCCAGGCCGCATGGTCCCAGAAGCATTCTGTGCTGTCCCGAAGTCCACTGGTCCTTGCCCAGTGAGACTGTCCCCGTGGGCTTTGCCTTCTTTGGAGACCTGTTGGACAAACACTCAGATACTGCTCCAAAATTAGTCCACACGGCTCCCAACAGGCAGTGATTACTATATCTAAAAACAAATGCCTGTTTGAAAACATCAGAGGAAACCTGCTTGCTTGACATTTAAAAAGCAGGAAGAGTTCTTTTTCACACAGCACAAGTTTGGAACCTACAAAAGTAGAAGTTGCCTCCTCTAGATGGATCTACCTCAGGCTACAGAGTGGGCACATGTTTCTCATCCTTGGGGGCTGATAGAGAACACAGGGACAGGGGCTGGGACAAGTCCTTGCACTCCTAGCCTGGGTCTGTTCATGTTGTGAGCATTGCCATTAACCCTTGATCTGTTCTGCGAGTGGTGTGCAGCCAGCCTCTGAAGTGAGCTATGGAATGAAGTTCATTTAATATACTCCATGCAAACACTGAGTATGATATAGCACAGATAGAACAAATTTCTGTGGCTCAGAGACTTGCTCATGGCTCTTTTTAGTAAATATTGTCCCCTCACCCCCTCCTCCGACTTTATCTCCGTGGATGTGTGTTATCTACTATAGTGGCTTGATGCACATCCGACCAGCGAGGATACAGCCTTTGCACTTATGCTCATCTTATCTGTTTAAACCCTGTTTCGTGTCAGAATAATTTGTTCTTTTTAGTGTTGCATAGTATTTCATTTTATACCCCTACACTTTATTTATATGGTTTGCTGACTTTTGCTATTCTGAATGTAACTGGACATGCCTTCCTGAACAGACACGCTGACTTCTGTTGGGTTTGTGGGAATCAAATGGGTAGATCACAAGGTTTGAGTGGACGTAGCTTGAGTAAACAATGCTAAAATAGTTTCCCAAAGTGGCTAGAGAGATTTCCAGGCAGCATCCTTCACCCCTAGCATGTTTTCACTAGCATTGCCTCAGCCAGTCTTGAGTTCCGTCTGGATAGTGAGGACCTCACTGTGTCTTTCACCTGCATTTCAGATGAAGACTGCAAATCTTTCCGATCACCGTCCAGCCAGTGAACCTTCCCCTCAAGCCTCACCCGTTTCACTCAGAGGTCCCCTGCTTTTCTGTTCCTCGTTGGATGCTCTTTACGCATTCTCTACACACGTTCTGTTTCTTTTTCTTTTCTCCCAACCCACTGCTTCTCTCTGCACTCTTTGGCAATGACCTTGATGAGCAAAACTGTTAACGGTATTTGGCCTCAGCAGTTCTCTCCTTTTTATCCTGCTGCTGATGCCTCTGTTCAGGTATAGTGGTCTTTTCAAGACTGCTGTCCTTTGCTTATTGTGTGGTAGGGAGCTTTAGGCTTTCCTGTGACTCTGCCTCTGAGGGAACAGTTTACCTCTCACTCTACCCCTTCCCCTGCACTCGGCTGTCACTAGACACTGAACACGAGTACCTGTAGGGAGGAGCTACTCTGCCTTCCTCATTCATCCACAGTCCTTGGGCCTTGGGGCTCAGGGCTCCCCAGTGTCCCGAGGACGCGTTCCCCAAGACAAATTGTCTGATGCCTTTAATGGTTCTTGTGAGGGAGATAGTTTCCTGCCACGCCCAGAAGAGGATCTTTTCTTTCCAGCTCCAGGGTGTCTGCTCTCCTGCTCTGTGGACTTGCTGCCCTTCCCTATGTCCCTGTACTATGTCCCCATCTTCAGTTCCTCCCTTGTACACCTGCACTGCCATCAGAAGTCACCTTTCCCTGGAGACCCTGGCCCCCATCTTTTTTCAAGTACTCTGAGATCAGCACAGAAGAGCCCAAGAGTGGGCACGAATTCCCCTGTGTCTGTCGCTTCTGCTGGCTCCATGCTTTCATGCTCTGCTAAATCATCAAAATGTGAAAACCATTACAATTTATCAATTCTTTCCAGAGTTCTAGCTGCTGTCTTCCTGCTCCTGCACACAGTGGCCTCATCTTCCCAGGTGCTCTGCTGTAGGTGAGCCGCCTCTCATATCACGTGTGTTCTTAGTGGCCTCTGTCCTGACTGGGTTATTGCCCTGTGGGCTCTAAACTGATGGGTCTGTGAAAAATTCGGATGTAGGTGAGTCAGCTTTTAAATTTTTTGCTGTGCAAGTAGGAGTGACATTCTTTTCAACTTTCTATACCTAAATGGAAGCTGGGAGGTCCTAATGAAATACCACTCATCAATTTTTTATGTGCCCCAGTTAGAGTGCTGGCTGGTTGTAAGAGGTCATTGTCAAGGGTATCTTGCCCAGGCAGGGTTTTTGTGCCTACATGGATCCCCACAAAAGGTGAAGAGGACCCCAAAACTAAGGTAGAATGGCAGTAAGTGACAACCTAATAGAGCAGTCAGATGAAAATGTGCACGGCCCAGTAGGGACATTTTTCTAGGGACAGTCCAGCCAGCAAACACAGTGATGGAATTGCTAGGCAGCCAGAGTGAGCATTAGCCGCCAGCTGGGTTTAGCTCTAACACGTCAGTGACGTCAGAGGACAGCGCTCTTCTCTCCCTGTCTTGCCTTTCCTCTTCCGTTGTCTTCCTGTGGGTCCTGGAGGTCAAAGGTTCCGGTATAAATGGAAAGAGAAGTCATTTTGTAATGATAGAGGAAAGGATCCTGATGTACGGGAACTGGACACTGACTTCAGAGAGTGTGTTTTTTGACTTATAGCCCCTATTCTGCTGAACTTGAATCTGGTGATAGGAGAAATGGGGACTCGATGAGTCACAAAATGGGGTCTATAAGTCATAGAATGCTGCTTTGATTATTTCCACACATCACCCTGTCAGTGTGTCATTAATCTACTGAGTGCTTCCTCCTCTCCACGGAGTCTTTCTGATAGTCTGCTCAGTCCCCAACTTCAGCTGACACGTGAAGGTGACCCTGCAGTACCTGGCTGACTGGGTGACAGCACAGGTACAGTCTCCCAGAAGAGATGTGACCACAAAAGGTCAGCAGGGGTTGGATTTGGTCTGAGTGTGTCCCCCAGGGGTTGTGTGCTGGGAGGTGGGCCTGTTGGGAGGTAGTTAGGTCGTGATGGGAGCACTACCTGGGAAGGGATTGATGCTGTTCCCACCGTGTTCATTTGCCCACGTGGGAATGTGCTGGTTTAAAGCAAGGCGTGTGCCCTCTTGCATGCGGTTAGCTCTCTTTCTGCTTCTCCATCACGAAGTGGAGACGCCAGATACCCTCACCAGGACACCAGAACCGTGCTACTTGGACCCTCTAGCCATCAGCATTGTGAAACAAACAAAATTCTTCAGGACTTATTTCACTTCAGATGTTTTGCTATAACAACAGAAAACAGACAAGGGCGAACGAATGCACCCTCCAAAGGGTAAGCGGGAATAAAAAGTAGAGGAATATGAACACAAAGCTGTGGTGATGAAGTAGGTTTTATTATCCTGCAGATATAGTATTATCATCAGAATTTGCATT